TAGTACATCGAATGTTTTAACAATGCCGAAGGTTTCTTTATATTTCTTCTTGACATCAGATAATAGGAAATCGTCAGCAGTTGGATAGTTTTTGTTCAGAAATGCTAACATGTCCATTTTATCTTCTGCTGGTTTTTCTGCTTCTTTCTTTAAGTCTGCATAGTCGTTTCTCATACGTTCTATCTCTTTGACGGAGTAGTTATATCTCCTCATTGCTGCTTTACATTTAGAACATTGCGGGTTCATTTTTGCGTTATACATTGAAATAAAACCAGCTAAAACAACTAAAGCGTCAATTGCTCTCTTCATCTCAAACATAGCGGGTCTTATTTGTTTGTTCCATACTTTGCCTCTTCTATCTTTATCTCTTATCTGCCATACACATTCTGCAACTAATGAAACAAAGTTGTCGTATGTCTTAAATTCTTCAGATTTATATATGTCAGAGATGTTCTTATATACCATGTCGCAATCTTTGTCCATAACCTTATGGTTGCAATGATATCCTAGAAACTCATAGTTTACCTTTCGTATGAACTTCTTTATTTCTACTGAGTCAGTTGGTTTCACTTCTATTTCATCGAATTCAGGAATAGTGAGCTTTTGTTGTTGGATTTCAGGCAATTTGGGTAAATGGTCAATAATGTCCTGCATGTCATAAAGATATTCTTCATTTTCTTCATCCTGTGCGGTACAGTCTAAATTACTTGTTAAAAGTTCTTGCTTTATCTTCTGGATTTCTGTTTCAAAAGTATATGAAGAAGGAATGAAGCTTTTCATCTCTACTAACATAGATGTTGGATTCATGACTAACGAGTTTGGTGCTGTTGTTTGAATTGTTGTTGTGCCGATTGTTGAAATCATATCTTTTATACAAAATAAAAAAAATAAAAAAAATAAAACTAACTTTATTTTTTATTTCGGGAAAATTCATGAAAATTCAAGAGGGTAGAAATGAGGGTAGAAATGAGGGTAGAAATGAGGTTAGATCTAACCATCTACCCTAAAATATATTTTTGGGTCCTTTACACTCATTACGAAGAAGTCTTGACAAAACATTTACGAAGAAGTCATGAAAATTCAAGAGGGTAGAAATGAGGGTAGATCTAACCTCTTCACCTAAACATTATTTTTGGGTCCTTTACACTCATTACGAAGAAGTCTTGACAAAACATTTACGAAGAAGTCATGACAAATTCAAGAGGGTAGAAATGAGGGTAGAAATGAGGTTAGATCTAACCATCTACCCGACATTCTCGTCAAATACAAAAAAATGACACTTTTTCATTAGATAACTGTTATTTTTTGACGAAGTGAAGATTGACACTTCGTCAAAAAAATCCCTGAAATCATGTCTTTACATACAAAAAATACAAAATAAATAAAATAAAACTAACTTTATTTTTTATTTCGGGAAAATTCATGAAAATTCAAGAGGGTAGAAATGAGGGTAGAAATGAGGGTAGAAATGAGGTTAGATCTAACCATCTACCCTAAACATTATTTTTGGTCATGGACTTCGTCCTCGCCGCTTCGGTCTGAAAGACCTCAGGACTCAAAGAGTCCGTTTGCGTCTTTATGTTAAAATAAATGGTACCATTAATGATATCATGACTGTTCTCATTCATGTCTGATTTACATCCAACGAAAAAGTTTAGAAGAATTTTCTTATTCTTTCTGGCATGTTTTTATCTTTCCAGTACTCCCGCTCTAATGGTCCCAGATGAGTTGGTTTAGATTCTCTCAAGTTCTTAGATGGTATATACATCTTCAACGCCTCCTTCATATCTTACTTTATAAGTGTCATCGTTTATGTTGTAGTCAAGTATTTCAATAACCACTCCTCGCTTTGCTTCGTCAATGGTTTCAGCAAGTTTGCCATTACTACTTTCGACTAATTTATGACGAGGGTAAAATGCTATGGAGTCGTCAGCAGCTTTTATAAGATATCCATTACCTTGCGTAGAGTCTACGATATAATAATTTCGACTTAACCTTAAACGTTTCTTTGTCAACGGTTTGTCGTCAAGAACTACACGAACTTTTGTTCCAGGAATGAGAGTAAATTGTGTTGAATTTCTGATATTTTGTGTTTGACTTCGTTTCTTTTGTATATACTTTTCTTCTTGTTGTTGTGTCATTGAATTTGGTGTATGTCCTGTTGTAGAATGTGTTGAGGAATTGTAAACTTCGATGAAATGTTTCATTGTTTCTTCGGTAAAGTCTCGCTCTTGATTTAAATCTCTGAGAGTCCTTATGAAGCGGTTAATGATACCGAGTATGTTATGGTTATGGTCTTCAGTAGTGTAGTGAGTTATGTTATGCTTAATGAGAAATTCTGTGATTTCGTTGCTGAGGTATGCACCGTCTTGGTCTGATGTTAAAATACTTGGGCTATGTTCTGCTACAAACTTTTGTAAAACTCTTAACACTTCATGAGTTCCTTTATTTCTCATTATATACGCAAAAGCTTTGCGAGTGTTAACATTAATGAAGATGAGGAATGGTTTATGTCCTCCTTTTCTGCTTTGAATGAGAGTGTCAAATTGGTATGCGTCAGGAGTGTTGGAGTAAATTGGTAAAAAGTAGTCGTAAGGATTTATTTTTGTTTGATGTACAACATTTTTGTCAAAGAACCTTTTCACTTCAGCTCTGTTAGTAAATCCCGAACTCTTTGCAGCTTCATTGAATTTCTTAAAAGACCTCCATGGATGTTGTTCGAATACTTCTTTCAAGCTCATTTATGTAAAGTTAAAGATTTTAACCAACTCGTATCCAAGCGTGCATTGTTATATAAGGAGGCATATAATCTTTTCCATTACCTGCTGGGTCTGTAATACCAGCTACAACATGTGTATGATTTCCTGCAGTTCCACAGAAAATACCTGTGCTAACATCTTTGGGGTCATCTGAGATATCATATCTATTCATTCCCTGTCTATTCGAACCCGCTGCAAGATTTATATAACCTCTTTTTGTTATTGAATGTGAATGGTTTCCTTCCACAGATGTTCTTCCACTGAACCTATGCATATGTGAAGGAAGGTTTTCAATACCTATTTTCTTTGAACCTCCCATCTTCATTGACTGCGTATTAGTGTAGAATGGAAAACTGTCAACTATTTCATACCATCTACCACCAAATAAAGTGTTTGGATTTATTGGATTCATAGACGTATAAACAGCTCCTATAGGATATATTAAATCATATATGCTCATAACTCTATAAACATATTCTAAAGAACTTATGTCATTAAATACCATTTGGAATGTATCTCCCGGATGAAATGTTGCATTTGTTCCACTTTTATAATGTAATGTTAGTTCAATAGAATTATCCAAGAAAAATTCAAAAGTATCTGGTTGAAGACCTCTAACAAATTCAAATGGAGTTGCTGGTTCACCATTTATAATTTCTGTTGTAAATGTCATTGTATCTGGTTTCGAAAATTTCTTTGTTAGTTCTGTATCCACATAAGTTTTGTCGGCTTTACTGTCTAACATTGCTGGTAGTTCATATGCTTCAAAGTTTCTGGCATGACCTTCGATATTCCTGCAACTCTTATCTAAATTGTTAAGAGTATCTTTTACGCTTGTACTCGGATTCTCTAAAGGTGCACTTGAACCCAAATCATAGTTCAATATTATGTCGTCTGCTCTAACAGTAGTGAAGGATTTATGTGTATGATTTTGTCGGCTTTACTGTCTAAAGAAGTTTGAAGTTCATTTATATCGGAGATATTGTGTTTATGAGATTTCAAAACTTTGTTCGTTGCGTCAAGTTCTGTTTTGTCAGCTTTACTTTTAATAGCATCTTCAAAAGTTATTTTTGACTTAACTCTCAAAGTAAATCTTGGTTCAACTAATACACCGTTAACAAAGAAGTATGAAGCATAAATTTCAGCGTTATAACCAAATGATTGTGGTGCTATACCTGTGTCATACTGTACAGTACAGTGTATGTCATAACCTTTAGCACGAATGAATTTATATCTTCTTTCATTAACATTTTTCGTATTCACTTTTTCACCCTGTGTTAAATATCCATGATAGTCCGTTATAATCTGTTCATCAGAACTTATATAATGAACATGGTTTTTGTCTGCTTTATTGTCTAAAGAAGTTTGAAGTTCATTTATATCGGAGATATTGTGTTTATGAGATTTCAAAACTTTGTTCGTTGCGTCAAGTTCATTTTTGTCCGCTTTACTATTTAATGTAGCTTGAAGTTCATTTATATCGGAGATATTGTGTTTATGTTCTTTATCTGCTTTTTCGGCTAATTTCTCTTCTATCTCATTTATTTCAAGTTCATGCCTACCACCACCTCCCGAAGAAGTATTTTTCTTCAGCTCTTGAAGAACGTCCACTTCGCCATCTTTGGTGTCAATAATGAGACTTTGAGTTAAAACCTTTCCTGTCTTAATGGATGTTTGTAAAACTTCTTCTTCACCGTGTTCGGGGTCATGGTCGTCGTCATATCTTGTGAAATCAGAGATGTTGTCATACATTAAGCATATCTGTCTCAAAAGTTCTGCTATTTGGAATTGGAACGAAAGATATACAGAACTTTCATCATCTCCTAAAGTCAAGTCTGCTTTCTTAAGTATTTCTTGAATGTATGCAATGAGAACAGAGTACCTTGGAAAATATTCGAACAATATTTCATTAGCTGTTGGTTTTGGTGGTTCTTCTGGAGTTTCTGTTGTTTCAGTTCCTTCTGGAGTTTCTGTTGGAGTTTCTGCATCTCTTGACTTCAATGCTCTTGCTCTCAAAGACCTAAATGTTAGAGCACCGGGTTTTACAAAGGACTTTATAAATGCTTTAATAGTTCCTGGTAAGTTATTGTTAGCATTAAGTAAGTTCCTTATGCTTCCATCATGTACGTCCATAGCACTATGTAAAAAATCTATACTTTTCTTGTAGTCAGCAATAGACTGACTGTGATTTTTTAAAGATTTGTCAATACCTTTAAGCCAATCTTCATGCATGTCTGATACTGAGCCAAGAATATCATTTGCTTCCTTTAGTGTATTTTGTGCTTTTCGTAAAGTATCCAATCCCGTACGTGCATTGTTTGCTATACGTCTTACAGTATCTATTTGACTCCTTGTTTCTTGCATCCAACCAGATAAAGTTTTAATAGTATCCGAACCATTTGAAATGAAGTTCAAAGCATTTTTAACATCATCTAAAGCTTCTTCACCAAGTACTGCCCATATCTTTCCGATTTGGTATTGAAGAACTCCATATGAAGCAGCTGTTAAACCAGTATTTATAAGGTCCCATATCCATGATTTAGCAGTTTTTCCATCCTTTCCATCCTTTCCATCCAAACCGTTTTCGCCTTGAGGTCCTTGTATTCCTTGAGGTCCTTGTATTCCTTGTGGTCCGGTGTCACCCTTCTCTCCTTTCAGTTCATCTTTATGTTCGTTATAATATTCTAATGTCATAAGGTGTACATCATTACTGCTACCAGCAACTCCTAATATTTGTTTCTCATTCATGACTAAATTCTTTAGGCATTTAATGTTGTCGTCAAATCGAAAGCTCTTTAACAATTCAATGAGAACATTCAGTACTTTCACTAATGAGGCATCTACTGTAGAATTTATATATTGCACCGTTCCATCATTTATGATAGGAACTTTACTTATTGTAATGAATGGGTCATAAGTGTTAAAAGTATCGAAATCAATGACTTTTTTAGTTTTTCCATCGTCAATGACTAAATCATTGCCTTCAATGGTTAAAGTTGAGTTTTCGTTTACTAGTTCATGTGCTCTTCTTGCTTCATTTGTTTCATACGCATATGCAGCAATAGTCATATTTTAATGAGAATAAAATGTTGTTCTATTTGCAAAGTACTGACCCAAACGAATACGGAACAGTAAAGCTACAAACAAACTTAGGTCTTCAGAATGAAGCGCTTGCTTTCAGAGTTGTTGACTTCAATACTATCGCAACTTTTGTCATAACAGATGAAACAGATTTCATGGAGTTTGAAATAGATGGAAAGAAGCATGAAATAAGATTTCACAATAATGTAGAATATAAGATGGAAACATTAGCTGGAGTGTTAAATGCGCTCATAAATACTACAATAAACAAGGAGAACGAAGAAAACTTAATGAATGTTAAACTTATTGCAGGAGTTTTGAAGTTCAGTTATGCGAAGGAGTTTAAGATAACACGAATGAGTCATAGAGTTCAATTGCTTCTGGGAGCATACCATATGACATTTCCTTTGAAAAGTATTGACAAAACGATTGAGATGAAATCTGTTCCATACGTATGTTATGGCAATTGTTTATACATTGAGTCAAAAATAGCTAATGTCACAGGTATTTCAGGAGTTAATAGTAAAGGTTCAGTAGAATATAAGTCTTTCTGTTATGAAGTAAATTCAATGTTCATTCCAAACGTTCCTGTCATAGCAACTCATTTAGGTAAATGGGTTCGCATTAGTCCTCATAATTTGAAAGACATGCAATTCAGACTAGTTGACTTTCAAGGAGAGCCTGTAGAACTGAAGGCACCAGTGCGAATGACTGTTGAAGTAGACTTTTTAGAAAATATTAAATGCAACAGCTTACAAGAGAACTCAGAGCTAAAAATATAAAGTATGAATGTTATGTATTAGGTCATGAACTTTGGTTGTTGCTGTTTGATGAAACAAATGAGTTAGTTATGTCAGTCAAGAGAACAGAAAAAGGCGTCAAAGGCGCCGAGCGCAAAGCGCTATATTGTGTTAGTGAGAACTGCACCAAGTCAATAAGATTAGGTTTGCATTATGAAGATGAGTTCGATACTGTTGAAGAAGTTTTGGATAGATATTACAAATTGCTAACTTGAAATTTTTTTGACTAACGGCGCAAAGCGCCAAGATGGGCTCAAAGAGCCCTCCTGACTGCTTTAATTTACTAAAACATATTTCAAACATAATTTATATTCTGTTGAAAGTTTTGTATACTCGTTCGAATATTTATACTTAAACTCAACTCCTGGAGTACCTGGTATTTCAATGATGCGGATGTTACCTATTTTCATGAATGGTGGCGTTTGACCACAGCATTCGATTTCAGGGTCGAGATAGTCAATGACACATTGTTTCCCTGTTATTCGTGATATAACATTTTCAAGGTCCTCCTTTGTTAGAATTATTTGGTTCTTGCTTATAAGATTTGTCAAAAGCTTCTTATCGTCTTTGAGTAAGATAGTTTGATATAACTGAAGAAGGTAATGGTCTACGTTATCTGAAGGATTTGTTTGAACATTTGTGTAAGGGTTGTCGTTGGCTTCTCTTGAAAGAATTTTGGTCCAGTGGTGGATACTCTAACTTAACATCTGATGTAGCGTTAGCGTTTGAAGCTGAGTTTAAATTCACGGCGCCATGCGCCAAGATGGGCTCTTTGAGCCCTCCCGACTTAAGTTCTGGTTCTTTTTCTTTCAAACACTCCGAACTATAGTTCTTTATGACAATATTGTTTGTCGTTCGTGAGTCAACATTTGATGTTGGTTCAATTGGAACATTAACGGCACCAGCTAAGATGGATTTGCTTCTCATTTCATATAGAATAAAAACCTTTTATATGTATGAAATGAACAATATACTCGACAAGGGTTTGAATGTAAAGCTAACGAATGAAAATATTGTTGAATTCACTGAGACAGGTGCTGTGTATAAAGATGTAGAACTACTGAACAAAAGAGCTAAGGGAAGAAGCAGGAACATGAACAAAGGGTGGAAGCCTATAAAAATTTATGTCAATGATGGCTCAGGAGGTTCAAACATAAAGTATGCAGAAAGTTATAGAGTTTATGCGCTAAAAGGTGAAAAGCCTTCATTTAAGAACAGCTATTCTAACGCATATCCTCAAAAGTTAACGGATGGGGAAGTGGATGATATGAATGACAGCAAAAATATTAACAGAAATGGCGACAGAGATGCATGGAATTTGTTTACCATCAGTCAATTGAAGGTTAAACTTTAAAACAATGTTGGTCGTTCCCATGGAATATTTTTGACTTTAATGGTATTAGTCATGATATGAATCTCAAGGTATGAACGAGGAGAGATGAGAGACTTATATGCTTCCCAAATTTCTTCAAAAGGTAATGTTATACCTGACTGTTTCCAAATGAGTTCAATATCATACGTGAGAAACCTTGAAAGATAACGAAGTCAGTTATGAGACGTTTTATGTTTAAAGCAAAAAACTCCATGTTTGCATAAGTATTGCTACAGTTAAGTGGTAATGTCTGACTTTAGTTAATGATGTTAGCTAATGGTGAGTCAGGCTTTGACACTAAACCTTTTCCGGCGAAGTCGTCACAAACGAGCAGAGTGTTTGAAGGATACTTTTTGAAGGGGTATTTTGAAAGTTTTGACAGAATGTAGTTTGTCAGTCGTTTCATATCGTAAACTCCTGAGTACTGACGTAAGTGGTGTTTGTCAATAATTCTTTCCATCTCTTCTGAAGTCTTTTGCATTCCTGACTGTATAAATTCAACGATGGCATAATATTTCCTCTTACGTCGAATGTAACGTTGAAGAAATTCAATGAGTTCACTGTCTGGAACTTTAACGACAGAGGCTTGAACTTTTGACATAAATGTTTTCGCTGTTGAGTCCATAGAGTCTGAAGTTGCTGATATAATGATTTGGTCATAATATGATCATTTCCTAAACGCTCTGTTATGAGTATATGACGAATGAGGTTAAATGTCTTACCTGAACCCATCTTTCCACAATAGAAATAAACACCATTTGAACAGAACTCATAGTCCTTACTGAAAGGAAGAATGAGAGAAGAGTTAAGTTTGTCTGTAGTTTCATTCATGTCTTCATCTACGTCATGTATTAAATGCTTCATTTTATCTCCATTAAAAATGCAAGTCAGAAATATTCAGAACATAGCACCGAGTCTAACTGACAAGAGTATAAAGATATACTATGAACACGTTATGATGAAACCAACCAAAATTCAAGAAAGTCAGTATACTTATGAATATCCAAGACACTGGGTAGAGTATGTAGGAGGTGAGAAAGCTATTGAAATAAGACAAGTTAGAAGTATTCCAGCAGGAAGGACAATATTATTGAAGAACTTTAATGTTTTGAGATAATGATGAGACAAAGAAGCAAGATAGTTTTCCTATTGCTGTGTATGTGAACCTAGACACAGGAGATGACATGAAAGTTTTTAACACAAAGCTTCAAACGGTAGTGAGAGAACAACTGACTGCGGAAGGCACCCATTACCTTCAGAAGTTACCATAGCATATAATTTTGAAACAAATCAATAGATTTTAAAGTCGTCTCTGCAAAGAAGTCAGGTTTTACATTTAATGAAGCAGATGTATATTCGAATGAAAACTTCAAAGCTATTGCATGGTTAGATAATGACGATTGCTTTAAGAAAATATTTAAATTCAGTGACTCAAACGATGTCAATAGATGACCTTCGTGGAATGTTACCATCGACGTTTACAGTAGAAGGTTCAGCAGGATTGCTTACAAGATTGTCAATTGGTGGTATTTGGTCTCGTGAGAACATTGTTATAAAATCCAGTATAAGTGAATTTGCTGAAGAATCTATATTATGTCTTTCAAACTACATGTATTCGCCGCCGAAGCATTATAGTATAACAAACTTTGTCAGTAAGTTTAATATAAGACTTGTTGAACCTTCTTCAATGAAAGATGTTGTGCTAAAGACGGAAAGGATGGACTCATTATTGAGATGATTTTAATAGCATATTAAATGAGCTTGTTTTGAAGGTCATTCATGATGAAATAACTGTTGTAGAAGATGTTAGCAATTGTTCAGACATTTTGAAGCGTATAGATGATATAAGAAAGAAGTTAGATAGACCGCAAGCGGTGAGGCGAAGCCCGTGAGAATGTTTATGTTTCATTGACTTTCTCCAGTAAAGGAAACTTTTATGAGATAATATTGAAGAGAGATGATTTTAATATGGTGTAAATGGTAGCTTGGGCAGCTTTAGGCGCAATGGGAACAAAAGCATTAGCATTTGGAGCAAAAGCACTTGGGGCTTATGACGCAGTAAATAAAATGAGTGGAGGAAGAGTTTCGAAGACATTAGATGCAAATAAAGGAAAGATTGGAGGCTGGGTTGCAAAGAAGTTAAGATTAAATAAAATAGGGCTCATAAATAAAGCATCCAATTTGGTTGCGACTGAGTCAGAAAATGCTTTAGGAAAGGACGATGAGTTTGCAAAACATGCCAAAAGACTTTAATGACCAGATGAAAGGTGAAACAATGCATTTAAATAGAGTCGATGGAACTAAAGAAAATGTTTCTTCTCCACCAGTAGTTCTTCCGTATGGTCCCTATGGAATGTATGGAAACCCTTACGAAAGACCATTTGACCCATTGACTGGTGGAAGTAACTGGTATCATTACGACGAAGAAGAAAGACAGTTAAGCTGGAGACAGACGTGAAGAAAGCAACTAAAAAGAAACCAAGGAAGAGAGTTATAAAGTAATGAATTCAACAGACCCAAAGGGTCAGAGCCGCTTTGCGGCTAGGGTGAAAAAACAGGTGAAAAAAGAGGTGAGATCTCACCACTTCACCTAAATTTATTTTTTCACCTCTGACAACGTTTATTTTTAAGTTTATTTTATTATTTAGCGAGAACGTTTATTTTTATATAAATGACAGAACAAAAATATAACATTTCTACTCAGCAGGAATGAGACCCTTACTGACTATGTATTCGTTTAATGCTTGATGAAAACAATGGTACATATTATCGTATGGGTATACACAACGTCTGTTTCCATCGTCGTCGTATATGTAGAGCTCAAATCCAGTCCAACCTTCTTTTGTACAATATGTAGCTTTATTTAAGTATGCATTTATGTAGATAAGGCAATTTTCTTCATCGCTCCAGAAATAATTTTTTGTTCTTTGTTGAAATAGTTTTCGTTCCTCTGCGACCATAAGGAATGTATGCAATGAACTTTGCGTCATAAGGGATTGTAATATATTCAGGGTTTCTTTCATCGTCAATGGGTCTGTCTTTGTTAAAATGCATGTTTCTCAGTTTTACTTGAGTTTTGAATAGTTCACGGAAACGTTCTGGGAAAGAGTCATAGTAAATGTAGTCGGACATGTCTTTGTAATGAAATAAAAAATTTAAAAAAATAAAAATAAGGTTATTTTTATTTAGTGAGGACGGTAGGGAATTCGTTAGTGAAGTCGTTAGTGAAGTAGTTAGTGAAATCGTTAGTGAAATCATTTATGTGTCAGATGGTTTTGTAAATATTTAAGGTTAAGTTGGTGTTATGGTTGTGTTGTAAAATATACGTTACCGGTTTCGTAAAGTGTCAAACCGTTAACTTGGATAAGGTGGAACGCAGTGCCGCCGTACCCAAGTTAGGGATACTAACTTAGAGAAGATGGACCACCATACTGGCTAATATTTGTCGGTCAAAACACAAGATACTGTGAAGCCATACCATTACAGTCCAAAAATATTTTAGATATCTTAGCAGCTTTGACAATATTCGTTGACAAATACCATCCAACAAAACTGACATCTGACTGTGAAAGTTCTTTTCAAATCAGACGATATTAAAAACTATCTGCGT